CGATGGCATATGCTGTACCTACAACTTCTTTATTCTAAGGAGCATATTTGCAGCTTCTGATTAATGATAAGATTATAGGAATAAGGAATCTGAATTGGTCTCGGCCTTGACATGGCTACTGTACACGAGGTCTCTCTCCAGCTAGTACTAAATCACTAAATGCCAAGGGACCACAGCCTGGCCAGTATCCTACAAAGGGACCAGGAATTGGAGGGAGATAGATCTTATAGATGACCTAATATATGCTGTGTAGATAATAGACATGCATCAAGCGAGGTCTTGATCATTTTGCAGTAACTTGTCAGGCTACTCTACGTTTGATCTCTTCTGGGCCTTCATTTGATCTTAGCCTTGTTTCGTTCAAGTTGGTTTTGTTGTTCTGATCATCTCCCTTCCTACTTCTATTGAGCTTTTATGAATTCTGAAATTAATGTTTAGGTAATCAAACTGTTGTTTTATTTAACTTAATATTCATCAATATAAAAAAAAACATGAAGCATTAACTTCTTATTTCTGATTTCATGGCATGTGTCCTAGTCTGTTTGGAGGATTAGACTCCATGTTGCCATAATGTGGCAAGGGATGCATGGATTGCTCAAACCACATCATAGCTTCAACAGCCACATGCATTCCCGGGTGTTAGTCTCCTGCAGCTCTCCATTCCACCTGTGCTATTCACCAGCCTTTGAGGACATATATTTGTTAAACTTTGTCCATGCACGACCATGTGTTATTCTTGTCATGATGTCGTGGCAAAAATATCCATCATCAAAATCATATCTAATGTGTCTATATAATAAATATATGAGTAAATAAAAAATTCTTATATTTTATTAGTAAAAATATAGAATAATAGTCACTATAAACTCTAATTGATCTCAAAAATTAAATACAGTTAGTAGAGAGAAAATATTAATGTCTCAGATACACCCTACCTAAAATAAACTATATTATTTTATTATCTGATATAATCTAAGATCTTATCATGTTTTCTAGTTCCCCGCCTAGTATTTTTATCACTATAAACTCTAATTGGTTTCAGAAATTAAATACGGGAACTGGTTGAGTAGAGAGAAAATATTAATGTCCCAAATACACCCTACCTAAAGTAAACTATATTATTTTATTATCTAATATAATCTAAGGTCTTATCATGTTTTCTAGTTGTATGTCCATCCATGATTTAAGAAAATTTTTCTTCGGTAAGGAGATTCTTATTTTATCAGATAAAATCTAACTGTTCTGATATCAATAAAATAATTTAATATCCAAAATATATATCATGTATAAGATCATAACTCTATATATTAAAAGAAAAAAAATAATTTTTTTTTTGAAAATTTTTAAATATTAGGCTAGTTCTCGTAATTTTAATAAACTGGTTATTAAAGTTAAAATGTATGCTAATATAAATTTTTGAATCTTTGTTATATAAAAATATAATATGATTTTTTTTTTATTTTTGAAAGACTAGGGCGTATGCATGAAAACAATATATATATATATATATTATTTTTCAATATTTTGACGAAAATCAGATATTTTAATATCATATTTATATCTTTATAATATAAAAATACATACCGATATTAATTAAAATACAATAAAAAATTATGGAAAAATCACATAATTTTTGAAAAAAATTAAAAAAATGTTTGGGCCCGGCCGGGCCTGGCCCATGTAACGGCCAGCCAGCCACCCCGGTCACTAGCACAAGCTGGTGACCCCGCCGGCTTTAGGATGCATGCGTGAATGCTTACTGTTCAAGTGAATTATAATTCACTTGAACAGTAAAAATGCAAAAGGAAATCACATGCATAGAGATGAAAAACGCATACTTGGAAGTGGAAACGAAAGGGGCGAATGCGATGGCGAAGGCATGCTGGCTGGTCTCTTCTGTGCTTTCATCTGTTTCAGTTCTTCTCCTCTGTTCTTTGTTTTCTTTTCTTTGTTTCTCTTTTTTTTTTTGGTGTTTTGTCCCTGTTCTTCTCTTCTTCAATTCATATTTATCTGCTCTCTCGGTTTAATTCCTCTTGGTCTCCCTCTGTTCTATCCTATTTTCTCCCCTGTGTTTGTCTCCTGCTCGTTGTCTCCTCCCCTGTCTTTCCCCTCTCTCTATCTTTGTTTTCTTTCCTTTGTCGTTCCCCTCCTGTCTCGTTCTTTTTTCTCCCTTCCCCTGTTTTAAAACAAGCTCCTCCCTGTTTTCATATCTTTCCCGTCTTCTTCTCTATTTCCTCATTTTCTTTCTGCCCCTGCTCCTCTCTTTCCCTTCTTCTTCTTGTTCTCCCCTTTTATAGCCAAAACTGCATGCATTTTTCATAATGAAAACATTCAGGACCATTATTGCAGTGGTAACGGTAGAGAAATAGTTGCTGTGAAACGTTCCAATAATCTGTGGCATTTGTTGCTGAAAACGGTTCCTGCCTGCTGAAATGGCTGCTTTGAAGATGGTGATGAATAGTGTCTAAGGAAACAGCGCCGTTTCACAATTCAAATGAATATTTTCGATTCGGTCCCTGGTTGTTTTGACAATTTTGTAATTAAGCCCCCATATGAATTGTAATTGAATCCCTTTCTTTTAGCACCTTTTTCGGTTTAGTTCTTAATTTTAAATTATTTCAATCAAATTCTTAATTGGCAATCAAACTTCAAAAATTATACAATTAAACCTATCATTTAACTAAATCAATTCTTAAAAATTATAATTGGACCATAGAATTTTAATTTCTTCTAATAAAAACCCAAATCAATTTTTCTTATAATCAAATACTTCATAAATTTAATTAAACCTTGGATAAAATTTAATTGAGTTCATAAATATCTAATTTTGAATATATTTTTTCAAAAATTGAATTTTTTTATCAGCAGGGTTTTTATTAGTAAAAAAACATATTATCAAATTTCATCTTTTTGTATTTTTAAACCTTTTCAACTAATTATGGCTATTTTTTCAGCATTCCAGTATTTTTTTTGATAATATTATTTTTTGAATATTTTTAATATATTTTTTTTTGTATTTTTATTTTTTTTGTTTTATAAGAACCTAAAAATAAATAACAACAAGTCTGATAGGATTTCTTGTGCCACTTGTTACCATAAGATTTCGACCACCGGCACCGCTATATATATTCACAGTGTGTGTCCGTGGCTTTGAGCACGCAATTTGCAGCATAACCTGTTGAGAGAGAGAGCAAAAGAAAGGAGGATAATGGCAGATACCAGGGGAGGTACTGTGGGTTGTAATGACGGGTGTGGATGCCCTGTTCCATGCCCTGGTGGCCTGCAGGTCTCTACTGGCTACCCCTTTTTCATTGTTTTGATTACTAAATCCTACAAATCTAGTTTTTCGGTTGTCTTGTCTTTTGTTAGAATCTGTTCACTGTTGTGTTCTGAGGACACACACCATCATAATAATGGCTGCAGGCAGGAGTATAAGAAAGTACTTCAATTTTAAAACTCCTCCGTGATTAAAATGCTCTTAAAATTCAAGGACAGATTTCAGAAGAATTCTTTTCGTTATTTAAACATTTCATGCTTCTAACTTGCTGCTTGATATGAATACAGGTGTAGTTCAGTCAAGGCCACAGGCGGAGAGGGAGAGGGAGCTGGACACCAAAAATGCTCGTGTGGCGAGCACGGTGGCTGCAATCCATGCACATGCCCCAGGAGCGTGGTGACCACCGGGGTGGGCAAGGCCTACTGTACGTGGGTTGCTGGTTGTGCGACTTGCAGTTCTTGAAGAGAAGCTTTAGCCAGCTCGTGTAGAACAAAAGCAAGCTCCCCACCATCTCATCGATGATGAGTGGCATGCGTCTCTAGTTAATTAGATAACCTGTGATTGGTCCTTGGTTATTTTCATATATATATATATATATAAAATTATTCTATGATATATATATCAACTTGTAAATTATTAATATATAAAAAATATATTAAATATTATTCTCCTTTTAATTCATTTTTTATTTTTATATTTTTGAGTTTTTTAGTTTTTATCATCAGATAAATTTTATTGAGTGTTCTTGTTTTTTCAATTTTAATTGATATACCTTGATTATTTCACGAGATTTTCTTATTAATTTTGATTCGATATTTTAGATATTCTACTATTATTTTATTTTAATAAAATTTAGATTTTTATAATGTAATAAGTATTACGAATTATTATTTTTATTTTAATTATTGATGAGAAGTTTTGAAGTATCATTTAAGTTAATTAATTTTAAATAATATAATATTTAAAAAAATTATAAAATGTTGTATATCTTTAAATACTTTAGTTTTTTAATATATTTATTTTAAGACTTATTATAAGTAAAGTAAGGTGTTCTTGCAGCATTACTTTCATGTTGCCAGTTATAAATTCGGAATTCGGGTCGTGAGACGTTTCCTCTTAATAGCTTCGAGGACGATTAGAATGATAGAAAATCTTTCCTTTCGAAAAGAGCTTAACGAGACCATGATAACCAGGGCTCTGCTAAAGCATTCTACACAGAAGCAGAACTATCCAGTACAGATAAACAGAAAGAACGATACAAAAAAAAATGAAGAGTATATATCTCTTTTCTTTTCATTTTATTTTGCTAAATTGTTCTGTTTTTTTTTTTTTTTTTCAAAAGACTGAAAGGCCTAAGGTAGCATAAAAGAAACGAGAACAAAAGAAATCCAATTCTGTTTCTTTCGATGCATGATCAGGCCCATCTCGTGGCTACAGTTTGCTTTTAGTGTTTTGAGGGTAAATATTTCAGATTTGCAGCTCTTGGGAGAAGAAAACATTTTATGTGAGGGAATAAGATATCAGGGTGGAATATATGTCATCACCGTCACCATAGAGTTGAGAATGTTTTCAGGCAAAGCCCATGAGAACTAACTGCATATGATTCAAGGTGTTGGCCATCAAAGAGACGAATTCAATCCGTTGAGCTGACAGCATGGAATATTTTACACACGAGGAAAGATTAAAATGTCCATTGTTAATGGTGAAAGTAACATCTTTAATCTCCAAGAAAATTATAGCATTTATTCATTCGACCATTCTCATCAAAATGATGGTACTGATTGACGTCATGAGGACTAACTAAACCTACTAAGCTATCTTCCATCCCAGTAATGTCGAAGCTTTACCAGAAAATATAACAATACTGTTAATCTGACCATAGCTGGTGCTATAGTTGGTCGGTAAATGCAGCCAAAGTGGTGTAACTCATATTTGTGAGAGTGACTGCTGTGTCTTAGCGACTGGTATTTGAGTATTTAGATGATTGGATCACACAACAATAAGAGCCAGCATAAACTGTTGCATGCACAGCCAGGAGTGGTTTGGTTTGTTCCATTGTGCATGTAAGCATCAAAGCAGGAAATGAGAGAAAAAAACGTATGCAAGCTCTTATGTTTCCTTTGTCAAAGCTAAACTTGAAGAACACACATGAAATCATGTACTGTCAGAGACAAAGTAAGGCATAAGTTACTTACTTATACATGTTTAAGCACTTCAATTATGCATTGCCAAAGGGCATTAAGTTCAAAATCTTGTAACTCAACCTACCTGATTTTGCAGGACAGGATCCTTACTATCATTCAAAGGATGACTGGGCTGGGTTCAATCACCCACAGACTCCCGTCCTTTAGATTTGGTTACTCACTGTCTGCTCTTTCCGCTGGTCCTTGTCAAGATACCTTTCAAAGAAGTTAACCTCTCCACTAGATTTTATGGACAATGCACAAGTGCTTCTAGTTCCATATCGTCCCTGCATGTCAAGTAGATCCTTATAAGAGTTCTATCAAATTCTTCTTCTATTGTCAACTCGTGCTTTCTTGGATTCAGGCCCGGCTTGAAGATGCTCACTACTTGATTGGATCTAAATGAGAAAAAAAAATTTCAGGTAGGATTTAACACTAAGATTCTTTTAGGAAAAGAAAGAAATATTGTAGTTAAAGGTTTTTCACCTTATTGAGCTTCTCCCTGACCAATCTAACAGTCTGATTCATTGACTGGGATGGAAAGTAATCCTGAAAAATATCACAAAATTGTGAATTATACATTATCCCATGTAAACAATAATCCAAAACAAATCATGAAAGATAAATAATGCCATACTTAGAGCTGTGTTGACCTGAAAACGTACTACATTTTCCCCTGAAAAATAGTCTACAATCTACATCAACTGGTATCTTAAACTTAGTTTTCTAATTTCAGGGAATGAAGATTGTAATAGATAAATTCAAAATGTCAATGCGCACTGGATGCTTGGTATGGTAACTATCAATTTCCAAAACAAGAAATTGACCACTCTAGGTACAAGTTTGGACTGATCAACTCAAATATGAAACAGGGTTGAGTTATATCAGCTCAGCACAGCAGGTAGCTTACTCAATCCTCAGTTTTTGTCCCAACAAACCCACTCGGATTTCAATAACAGAGCTGATAACAAACAATCATGCCCCAGGAACGCACCAACAAAAAAATAACATACCTGGTCAGAGGACACCCTTGTAATAGGAGGATCACCTATCTGATGAACATTTTGTGATTCTCCAGAGTCCCTACATAAGTACAGGACAGATTAGCCATGAGCATAGGAAATGAAACTGCCACAAATGAACACTTTCGTAGAGGAGAGAAACTGGAAAGAAAATTTAAACAGCGTACCAAGATTGATTAGAGTTAAGGTGCTGAGAAACGTGGTCAATCTGTGATGTAAGCAATGAAGCCTGGCTCGAAGTGCCAGCGTTGGGAACTTTGGGACCCTTGGTTCTCCCAGCTGAGACCATTAAAGACAGAGATACAGAATCCTTAACATCCAGGCAAACTAGAATCATAGAACCAAATTCTAATTGTTCACAGAAACAGAAACTGACGGTTCAAACGTGCAAAAACTTCCTTCCTTCTGCCTTCTAACTTATCCTTTGTGTCAGAGACGGTCTCAAAGTGAGGAGCATAGGAGACCTGCAAGGGGTTCCCTAGGAAAATGGATTCGTCCAATTTCCTTTTAGCAAACCTAGAAATTAAGCACATGATTTATTATTGGATAAGAAAAAAATGAATGCCCAGAAGTTGAAAAGGATGGATGAAATTATCAGCTCACCTGGCATTGCTGACCAGACGGAATTTGATCCAGTAAACATCAGTAAATTGCTCACAATCTTCTGCATCCATTGGTTTACACCTTCAAACAGTTGTTTTTTTTGTTTTTTAAGAAAATTAAGAAAATTAAAGTAGAAAAAAAAATGAAACAGAAGACGAGAAGTGGGTTTAACTTACTCTTCAACGTCTCCATAAGAGGCAAAGAGTTTGAACAAATCATCACCCCATCCCAAAGCAGGAACGTTCCTCACTATCAAATATCTGTTCAAAAAACACATTTTTGTTAATTCGACTTTAGGAAAACAAGAAAAAAAGAAAGAAACAAAGACAGAAAGAGACCTTGATTCGTCACAGACAGTGTAAACACGAACCACCGTAGGATGAGGAGGAAAGCAGTCTCTGTTTCGAGGAGGCATGGCATCTCCTGATTTGGTTTTGTTGATATGCTGATGCGGCTAAGGTGTTTGACAACAGAAAATATGACGGAGAAATAACTAAGAAAAAAAAGAGTTAAGGGACCATAGCTGCAAAACCTGATCAGTCAGGCGGGTGTGTCCGATAGCGATAAAGAATAAGATAAATTATATATTATATTTTATTTAATAATTTAAATTTTTGTGTTATATGATTTTTAAAATTTTAATTTCATCACTGTTAATAATTAAATCTGACCTAATCTTTAGTCCATTAATTATGTTTTTCAAAAAACTTTGTAGTCATGTTAAAATCAAAATTATCTTCAGTTCACCCTCCGCACCACCCACCCTTGTTGGATTTTACAACTATGGAAGGGACAGAACAGATACTCTGTTACTTTCTAGCTGATTTGATGTTCTTAAGTACCTGAGGCTTAAAATCAAAACTTCTCAAGACATATAGGGGTAACAACTCAGAGCATTGAAATATAGGAGCAGAAATGAAATGTTGATGAATGTTTAAGGGCCAAATTATAGTTTACCTCAGAGAAAAATAATGATTTAATAAGAACAATTAGTAACACCCCGCTTGTTAGTCAGTGAAGGTGGGGAGAGAGAGAGAGAGAGAAGGCAAAGGCCATAGCAATAAAATAAAATGGGCAAGCTAGTAGAGAAGACGAAGCAGAAGAAAGGAAGACCTTCTTTATTAGATCTCCAAAAACGCTCCTTAAATGGACAGCTAAACCAGCAACACCAAAAGAAACGTAATCATCGTCATCTTGGAAACGTTTCGCCTTCTCTTTCCAATTCAAGCAATTCAACAACGACCCCTAATTCTTCTCAAATTCACAAATCTGCCACTACCATTGCTACTCCTCTCCGTCGATCCACTCGCCGCAACCCTACCCACGACGAAACCTACCAGGACTCCTCTGACGATGAGGACAACACTGAATTGAATGGAAAGCGCCGTCGGGAGAAGAAGCTGAAGCTGGTTCTTAAATTGCCCAAACCAGACACTAATTCGACGTCGTTCAGCTCGACCGGAGAGGAATCGAACGGTGAGGAAGAGAAGAATACGGGGTCGAATAAGAAGAAGAGGAAAATCAATGCACCTGAGATTGAAAAGGTAAATAAAAAAATTCAAACTTTTTGGTAAAATGGTGGGAAAATTAACGAAAGGAAAGCTCCTTGAAAGGCGGGTTTGTGTAAGTAATGTTGGGATTTTGACTTCGGTCTGAAAAAATTCTATTTTTGAATTTTAATTATACTAATAATGTTTTGTAATAAATCTTTATAAACCACACGCCAAAAAAAAAAAGAAGTCTTTTTAGAAAAATAAATAATGGTAAAAGGGTAAAGTGTTTATTGTGGTAACTGTTGTTTCTTTTTTTGGCTACTTTCAAGTCCCTTTCCAACACTTTTTCACCAATTACAGTTTTGATTTTAGTTTTTTATTTCTGTTAATTTCTCGTTGGGATTTATTTTTATTTTTAATTTCAGGGAGATCAGAATTCTACAACTGGAACGAACCCAACAAGCAATGTCCAAGGTTTGATTGTTTGTTAATGGTTTTATAGACCCATTTGTTCAAAAGGGCTGAATTTGGGAACTTTTGTTTGATTTATGTGTTCACTTGTTTTGCAGATCCTGGACCCTCAACGCCTTTACCTGATAAAAAGCTGTTGCTGTCAATCCTGGACAGGCTTCAGAAGTGTGTTTTCTTCTTCTTAGCAGCTTTCAAAGTTCTTGCGTTTTTGTTTGCTTTATGGGTTTTAGTGAACCGAGTGAGATAAATTCGTTTTTAATTTATCATTGCAGGAAGGACACGTATGGTGTCTTCTCTGAGCCAGTGGACCTGGATGAGGTTATTTTTTTAATGATGCATTTAGCTTTTCAGGCTTGTGTATGTGCTTCTGTTTTTTGATTTTTGGTTGATGACACCTGACTTGTTATGCAGCTGCCAGATTACCTTGAAGTCATTGAGCATCCCATGGATTTTGGAACCGTCAGAAAGAAACTCACTAATGGAGCTTATGGCAGTTTGGAACTATTCGAGGTTGGTATATGTGATTGCGATTATGTCTTTCCAACATTCCCTTTTTGCTTTTATTTAGGTTTTGTGTTTTTAGGTAGTTATAGTTTGGTGTAAAGAGATGGCTCTTATTTAGGAAGGCACATGCCTATACAGAAAGAGAAGAGTCCATAAAATTAAATGTAGACTAGTCTCTGCTGATTTCTCAGCATTTGTATGATGGAATTGACACTCGAGGAATAAAGAGATTAAGGAATAAACAACCTTTGATTTCATGTTGGTTTCTCTGGGGACATGGGCATGACACCAGAAATTAATACATTCATACAAGCGCAGATTTTGTTTTCAGTTGCATGGCTTTTGTTCTTTTAGTATGCAGTTAGATCTTTAAGGAATATTCCACTACTTGAGTAATTGTGTTTCCAGATTATTCATTAGAGTTAACATACTTAAGAGTCCTCAATCCTTTCATTAAGACTGTTACATTGGGTTTTAATGCTAATCAATCATGTTCACTTCATGCATTGGGGTATCATGGTAGTAGTTACCTATAATTAGATTTCACATTAATGAAAAAGAACTGATTACTTTAAGTGAGTTGAGAAGAAATCCTTGGGCAATTTGTAATCCCTGCTTGTGTCAAACTATTAGAGTTAAATGTATATGGAAGAGTTATTGCTCAATTTGCAAAATAGAGATGCCGATGTAATGTGAATAGCTCCATGCTCGACCTGATTACATGGATAAATGCTAGAGTTTTCCCAGTAGGTGGTGTATTTTTAATGGTTGTAAGCTAGGAATGGAATGATTCTTGCATTTGTGCATCTCCTACTAGATGACTGGGAGACTAATGAGGCTGAAAGAGTACTAGTTCTGTGGTCATGTCCATCATCTATTGGTTGATACACTGCTAATTATCACAATTCTTTATTTTCTTTGGCCAATTGACTGTGGATCCATTTGCAAGAGATAGAACCTCTTTGTTCTGGACGAAGCTTCACAGGACTCCAATTCCTGCTCCATGCATGTGCATGTTGACATATGTGAAATTTGGGTTCCTTGCTGCCTCTTTGAAAGAAAAAGAAGGTTTAATCAGATTCTGAGTTAGGACAACATCCCAATCTAATGATATTCTAAAATCCTCTGTGTGCTTTTATTGGATTTTGAAAGAAATTTATTTGATTTTCATCTTACTGTCATGCAGGAAGATGTTTTCTTAATATGCACGAATGCAATGCAGTATAATGCCCCGGATACCATATATTTTCGACAGGTAAAGCCAGCTTTTTACCTTTGAATTTGCCATTTCTCTGTTGTCTGCATATGTTTTTGAATCCCCTATTGCTGTCAGGCACGATCTATACAAGAGTTGGCAAAAAAGAACTTTGAAATTTTGAGGCAAGATAGTGATGATAATGAAGCAGAACCTAAAGTAGTAAGAAGAGGGAGGCCACCTTCTGAGAATTTTAAAAAATCACCAGGCAGGCCTTCATTGGACCTTGCTGGTTCCGAGTTTCCCACAGTTGGAACTCTTGCTACAGGTGGAGAGAATAGATCTTCAGAGAAGTCTGGTTTTGCAGATTCGTCAGGACAATTTCATGGTTCCCGCAATGAAGCTTATTTGTCGACTGACAACAGATTTGAGAGGAATGATGAAACAGCAGGTATGAAACTTCAATATTAGTGTATTTTTTATTTATTTATTTTTTACTTCTCTTGTCTGCACTCTTCCAAATCTTTACTTAACATAATGACAAGGCATTTTCACTTTTATTTCAGGTTCGATACTTAAAGGTAAGCATATTAAGAAGCATTTGGCACTTGATGAGAACAGGCGTAACACATATAAGCAATTCCATCCTTCAGCTGGTGGGCGAGTGCCATCTGTGCTGACCACTTTTGATGCAGAAAGGAAGCAGCTAGTGGCTGTATGTATCGCATCAATGTCCATTTTCTATTTAATTCCTTGAAGTGAAAAATGAAGCCTCATTTATGTAAAGGGCCCATGCAGATAGATGATGGGTCAAAGAGTAATCAGAAGAAAAGGTAAAAAGAAAAAAAAAACTAGAATGGCAGGTCACTTGGTTTTAGTCAGGGAAATTTGAACCTTAAAAGATCCTAACAATGATAAGAAGTGGTGGTAATGATGCGGTTAGATTGTATGAGGTATTTGGAAAGGAATTTCCCCTTTAGGGTGTACTGCATCCACAAGTCCCCCCAACATGTTCTGCTTAATTCTGGGGCAACGTAACTGGCCTTGTTATGGTTGGTTGATTTTGTCTTTTTTCTTTGCATGAATTAGGTGGGGCTTCTGACAGAGCATGGTTATGCAAGGAGTATAGCACGATTTGCTGCGAACATTGGACCTTTTTCCTGGGCGATTGCAGTTAAAAGAATAGAAAAGTCTTTAGCGCCTGGAGTTAAGTTTGGTCCTGGATGGGTCGGAGAAAATGACATTCCACCACAGAAGGCTATATTTTCTTCACCCATGCCAAGTCAGCTGGCATCACCACCGTCACTGCCACCACAAAAGCCCATCTCTGTTCTTGAAGGCTCAGCTGCTACTGCCACAGCTTGCGGTGTTAAATCGAAACAAGGGAAATTGTTAGCGAAACCTGAGAGGGATATTTTTCCGGAGAAGCAGGTGCCTTCAACTCGCCTTTCTGAGGCACATTTTAGTTCGGTTCCTCCATCCACCTTAATGACTACATCCGTCTCGGCTGTCAATAAATCTGAACCTTTCACAGAAAGAGCAGAATCAGTACCAAAATTAAATTCCCATTCTGCATTTAATGTACTGAACAGTAGTACGGGTGTGATGAGGCAAAGGGCTCCATCTCAACTTCATCAGAACCCAGCCATTCACCCTGGCACGATTGGATTTAATGCCACGTATGGGTTTAACATTGCAGCCCAGATGGGAAAACTAAATGGAGTTGCTAGGCCTTCTGGACTGGGCATTCAGTCATCTCAGATGGCCGACAAGGTCTCTAGAACTAATTCTAACCTGGTCCGTTCAGCAAATGCAAACAGCATAAACTCAGAGAAAATGAAGTTCCCCGAGAATTCAAGTTCAATAAAAATTAGTGGTGCGTTGCCAAATTCTGGGAACGAGGCAGTGGAGGCCTCAAGATCTGTTGACCAAGCTCAACCAACTTGGCAAGGGTTATATCCAAATCCAAGACCAGATTCAGGCTCATCATCACATCAGAAATCGGATGCTGTCCCGCCTGACCTGAATGTAAGATACCAGTCTCCAGGCTCTCCTGGTTCTGGTTGCATTGACCCAGCACCGCCAGATTTAGCTTTGCAGCTCTAAGTGTGGTTGAGCTTCTTTTTTTTCCTCTTCTTCTCAGATGATTAAGTTAACTCTTCTTTTTTTTCTTCCTCTTCTTCTCAGATGATTAAGTTAATTTTCTAAATTTTCAAAGTAACCTTTTAATTTACTTTTTTCTTTGTATCTAGTTCATTTTTTTATTAAATATTTTATTTGAAATAATTATAAAATTAGATTTTTTTATTTTACCTTTTAATTTTTTTCATCTACCAGATTTGATTCTCACTCTTTTTAAGGATTCATCGAAGTCACACCTAACCGTGTTGTAAAATTGCAGGTTGTTTCTGTACAGATTAATGTGTCCTGATTCATAGATTCATAAGTGGAGGAAAAGGTTTCATCTGTAACCTTGGAAACCAAATAAACCATGATGTTCCAAGAATTCGATTCAAGATGTTAGATGTTTATCTTAGAATAACTAAGTTCAACTGAAAAGCAATATCCGTTTGGAATTCAACGGTTTCTGGGATGCAACATGCAGTGTAGACCTCGTTACTTTGTCTAGCTTCAAATTTCCTTTCCATACCAAAGTGATTCTGCTTTGTTGGCGACATGTGAAAAAGGGACTTGGTTATCAATTGTCATTTCTTCTATCATCCAGGAGTCGCTCATGATAAATAAATTGAAGGGCCGCTGTCTCCATTTAACCTTGTATTAACCTAGCACCAGACAGCATAAAAGAGACAAGAAGAATCCTCATGATAATTGTTGCGATGGACGATGGGTCTTGAGGTCAAGAATTCCAAGCACGTCACTCTCAAAACTTAGCGAGGGATTGCGCGAGCGGGAAGTGGGAACACGGTGACTAGTCATTATTTATCGTCAGCCATATGCCACAGCCCCAAAAGTAGTTGCCAATTTCTGCATAACAACATGCAATTTCTACGAAAACCCGTTAGTGTTATAAAGGGAAAGCGTCATTAATGGGTTAAAAAATTATGTTTCCTTTGACAATTTAAGGAAGAGAAACAACATGACTTCCTTCTTATTAACCTCCAGCGATTGTCAAGCGTTGAACTTTTCTTTTAATATTTTGATAATACGTTATGTTAAAAATAACTTTTAAAAAATAAAAAAATAATTTTAATATATTTTTTAAAAAGAAAACTTTACAAAATAATTATTAACACGCTTCCAAAAACACACGCATTGTAATCGAGGTCAAGCTTGGTTGCTGGCTTTTGTTGGAGAAGAGAAATGGAAAACAGGCTGTCTTAGCTAATGAAGAAGACAATGGTTTGCTTCAAAACAAGCAGTCTGGGTCCTCTGGAAATTAGATTGCGTAAATTGTTGGATTTTTGTGCTAATTTTGTTTTAATACAGGAAATCGTTCCTAATGAATATGGTTTGCATATGAAACTTGAATTAAGGCATGATTTAAAGGGTTTAACGTTTGACTACGTCATTAATCATGCATCTTTTGTGCAATAAAATTCAGCATAAAACCAATTTATTTCTAGGGGTGATCATTTTCGGTTCGGTTTGGTTTTTTTTTTTTTTTATAAAAAAAAAAAAAACTGAAAAACACGAAACAGAAAAAAAAACCGATTAAAATTTTGAAAAAACCAGCCGGTTCGGTTCGGTTTTTTAGGGGAAAAACCGGGTCAAATCGGTTTGGCTCCGTTTTTTCCGTGTTGGTCCGGGTTTTTTTTTTTGGTTTTTTTTTTTAAAAAAAACCCGAACCGAACCGAAACTGGTCGGTTTGGCCCGGTTTCGGTTCGGTTTCGGGTTTTTTTTCAATTTTTTTTTTTTGGTTCGGTTTTTTTTTTTGGGTTTGTTTTTTTTGTGTTTTTTTTTTTCGGGTCAGTTTTTTCAGTTATTTTTTTTCCGGTTTTCTCGATTTAATCGATTTTTTGGTTTTTTTCTCACCCCTGTTTATTTCTATTTTGATAACTAAGGAACCAGTTCTCGTATCAGTTACCTTATTTTAACGTCCAATTCATTCTCCCTTTTCATCCACCAGAATACCTATCTCCTCTTTCTTTTATCCATTAAAATCGGAGGACTTCTAAGACAGAAACATGAGATTTATATATATATATATATGTTTTGGAAGTACATTCTAAAAGAGACAGCGTTCCTTTTTGGCGTGAAAATGGGAATCGATGCTGCTGTCCGAACCAGTAATTTCCCTTTTCACTGTCTGTAGTGGAGAGCTATTTCCCTTTCATAAAAGGTAGCAATCAGTTTCAGCTTAGTATAACTCCTCCTGCTTTATTTTCTGTCTGCTCAAGAAAACAACAAAATCATGATGCCCTCTTCTCCCCATTCTTTGTTTTTGTTTTTTCCTGAGTTTTGCATGTCGATAGGAAGGCTCTGTTTAGGCTTGCAACGTAACTTGAGAAATTATTTGGTTTTTACCCTTTTTTTTCATTTTAAATTGTGATAAAAATCTAGATTTTAAAAAAAAATTATAATTTATTGCTCTTATATATATATATATATATATATATATAGATATATTAACTCTAATTGTTAAATTTATCACGGTAGTAAACACACACTGACAACATGTATAGTTCTTTCCCCTCCTAATTTACATTTCAATCACAATCCAAAAAGGACAATGTGAAACAGTCCCCCCTTCCTTTGACAACTCCTCGTCAATGAAAAATAAGTACAAATAAATAATTCATGTCCTTTAGCTCAACAGAAAATTAATTGATAGAACAATAACAATAGGTCCTTCCTTTGAATTTCCTCCTTTGACTGAAAAAAAAAAAAGATTTTTCCTAGACACGCAATTGACTTGGACGGGCTACCGTAATTCTGTCATTCATTACCGGCGAGACCACTTGCCTTCTTACAAAACCATAGAAACTCCTCGCTGTGCTGTGCTGTGCTGTCCCTCCCTCCCTCTCAATATTGAATAAACAGTTATGTTTACTAAAACAAATGAGAAAAGCCCCCTTTCTTTTGTATTTGCTGACTAGATTCACAAATGAAAAGAAAGTCTCAGATTTTAGTTAGTGGGAAGAGAGAGAATTATAGTCAAGAAAAGAGATTGTACTCTCCCATTGATTTGGTTCTTGAAGAATGAGAGTTTTTTTATTAAAGAAAAAGAAAACGAAAGGAAAACCGTTTTGAAGAATCTAGATAATTAAGCTCAAAGTTGTTTCCTTTTTTCTTGTATCTATCTTTGAATTCTTGAGATTAAGCTCGATACTACTGCAAGGTTATATCTTTTGTATCTTGGTAGAATCCAACTGGTTGTTTTAGATGGGGATTTGCTGGGGTTCTTCTGCTCATAGTCCTACTACACCTTCTACCACCGGTCATCTAAGTACAGGTAAAATAAAACCTCTTACCTTTACGTATTAAATGTTTAATCTTGTTGATCCAATTTGCAGTCTGGGATTTGCTGTCTTTGTTCTAATCTTTAAGGAATAGAAATTGATGTGATGAGGTATCATGATTTTTTTTAGTACCGTAGCAACTGGTTTTCTCTTTCTGTTTTTCGCTTTTAAGCTAGTTTGATATGCAATCGTTTCACTAGGAGATGGCCCTGCTGCTCTACAGTTTTTGGCGTGGGCTCCCTTTTGTTTTTTTCCTGGAATTTGTTTGTTTTTTCCTAAGCAAGGTTGGACTTTATGTCTCTTTTGTCTGATAAATAGTGGAAATTCCCTTCGTTGCATAAAGTTACTTGCTGTTTTCTTTTGGTTTTCACAATTTGTTCATTTCCATTGCACATAGAAAATCATTCTAACTTTCCTAAATCTAGTTATTTCTTACTCCAAGTGTTGTTTTGGGTCAAATTGATTTTCCTTGATTTTTGACATTAATTTGGATAATCAACACCAAAATTTCAATATTTTGACTTAATATGTCATCTCACTTCAATTTTGTAACTAAAGCAGGCATATCTCAGACAACTAGCGATACTGCTTCTTCTGGGGTGAGCAATGCAACGTCGTCTAGGGGCAGCAACATCTCTGCACGCAGCCGGTTTTCGGCTGGGAGTGGTGATGAGGAGTTTCCAAATGGGCAGATTTTGCCTACTCCCAACTTGCGGATATTTTCTTTTGCAGAACTAAAGGTTGCCACCAGGAATTTTAAATCTGATACTTTGCTTGGCGAGGGAGGTTTTGGTCAAGTCTACAAAGGATGGCTTGATGAGAAGGCGCCAGGGAGAAATGGAAGTGGAACTGTAATTGCTGTTAAAAGATTGAATTCTGAGAGCTTGCAAGGATTTGAAGAATGGCAGGTACTCAACCCAACTTGAGAAAGAACTAAGCATTGGCATACTATTTTTAGAAATCACCATTGGATTTTAATATGATTGTTTAATACCTTGAAATGTTTGGATTTCTTATCATTTAGAGAGTAGGAGACTTGTGATGGTTAGTAATGGTATTTAACAGCAAGTGTATATGAAGTGAAACTGGATCGCCTCAAATGTTCTTTATGATCTTTCTCTGGAAGTTGCTAGGAATAGGCTAGGCAGGAGACTAGACTCTAGAGCGTCTTCTCTGTTTGTTAGGCATACGCACTAGTGTTGACGTATAGTATCAAAACAATGATTCTGTGGATCCAAGTGTTTTTATGATTCCTACTCCGGATACTCATTTATGCATATGGTTCATGAAAATTGAGTGGCCACATTTGAGAAGCCAACCTCAGGTTGGTGTGCAAATTTCAAGTGGATAGTGTCTTTCATTGAGCTTAATTTTACGGGTAGTGGTTGAGGTTCCTCTGATTTACTTTGTTCATCGCTTGTACATTTTTCTAAAAAGTTACGTACTTTCTAATGCGGTCATTTTTTGGTGCAGTCAGAGGTAAATTTCTTAGGAAGGCTTTCCCATCCCCACCTTGTAAGGCTGATAGGATACTGCTGGGAGGTTAAGGAACTTCTCCTTGTTTATGAATTCATGCAGAAGGGAAGCTTGGAGAACCATTTATTTGGAAGTAAGAGCTAATAGTTGACTTTGAGATATCTGATAGCCGCCCCCCCCCCAAGCTCTTCCTTAGGAGCAAAAGGATTTTGTATGAAACAAGATCATTT